CCCCATGTCCCTTCTAGCACTGTCTCACCCAGGAGACAGCACCATGTGCAACCTGGACAACTCAACCCACGTTTGCCAAAGTGAGGACAATAAACAGCACTTCACGTTTGCTACCTATTTTGGTACAGCTGGGACCTGCTGCCTGCTCTGCCTCTGCCACAAGGGTGTGTGTGACACACCTGTACTGCAACGTCCAAGGCACCTGGAGTTTAGCATTTTGCAACCTGTGCTCAGGTGTGGGCTGCTCTGTGCCCAGATGTAGCTGGCTGACACCCTGAGCCCTCTACCCTCAAACTGTCCTTAGACGAGAATTCCATGTATTAGGACAAAACCCACCCTGTTGGTCAGCGTCAGCAGTTCGTGAGACCAGCGCGCTGACAGCTGGGAAGGTGATACTGGACATGGCTGCAACAGCACCAGCTGCCCACATCATCCTGCAAAAAACAGACTCCAGTCACTGCTCTGCAGACAGCGTTCTGCATTTGGAAAGTACATATCCGTGTGCACACTCTCCAGTGTCTCCCTTGAATAAAGGGTAAAAATGCAGAAAAATACTGTATCATTCAGGTATTAAAATGAAATTCACATACCATGGTTCGGATCCAAAGCCATACCACGCAAGCTGGAGTATTTGAAATCCCAGGCCCAGAAGGATGGTGTTTTTATTTCCAATGGATCGCATAAGTAAACTCAAAACTATTGTCTAGCAGAGAGAGGTGGGGGGGGAAGAAAAATAACATTTTATTCTAAATGTTAAGTAAGTGCAAATAACTAAATTAATTTTTAAAAGCCCAGTAAAACTCTCCAAAAGCAGCGTCTGCCAAGCATTCAGGAGCCTCTACCAAAAACTACCCATCATTTAACAAGTAATATGAACAAACTGTCACCCCTTCTTTGATGCACAAAGGATTTAGTTTTCCCAGCACAATACACTTTGGATATTAATGACCCAAAGCCTGGTTGGCAAGCTGTGTTTTCATCTGAGTTAAAGTCAGAGTGTTAATCACTTGTTAGAGACTTAGAAAAACAGCGACAGGAAAGGTGAGTCACATTTCTGGAGCCGCAGCATTACCGAAGTTCTCCCCAGTTACCAAATCAACGACAGACACGGCAGTAACTCACCTGGGCAATAATGGAGAGAATCCCCAGGACTGCTATAAACGCTGCAACGCTTTCAGAGGAAAATCCCATTATCTATATGAAAAAAGGCACTTTGATTATCAACCGTAACCGTGTATCCTGATGTTACAAACACCAGTGGGGGAACACACAATGCAGAAGACAGCTATTATTCAACTCCACCCTAACTCAGGAAAAAAAAGTGTTTTGTTTTGTTTTCATTAAATCGAGCAGGAATACAAAAATAAAGGGTCATAAATAGAAAACAAGTAAATGGTTCCCTCAAAAAACCAAAGTTTTAACCTTGTAGTCCAACAAGAATGCAAATAATGACAAAACACAAGAAAACGTTTTATAGTCCATTCATATCTATCTACCTCTTTGTCTCATTAAAAAAAGAAAAACAGAACAGCATGAGGACTTAAATGAGCTGCTGGAAGCTTTAAATTATACTAGTTGTCTATACTTTCTGTATTAATTCAGCAATACTGAATACATTCCTCTAAATTTACTTTTGTTCACATTTGTATCAAAACAAAGTTACCTGTCTGAGGTATAGGAAGAAGCTGGAATATTGACCTGCCTCTGGGAGGTAGGAAAGAAAGACTGTTATGCAGATGAGCAGCACAACTGAGTCCTGGCCGACTTTCTTCAGTGACTATGGCAAGAAAAAAGTCTTATGAAACATTTAATCTTCACCTTCAGAAAAGCACACCTAGCCAGAATCTGCAAAGCATGTAAATTAATGAAGCTATTATGTGGTACCACCAAAACATTCCCTGCATGTTTAGCAAGACAGCTGGCAAAAGTATTGGCAACGCAAGGTTAAACTTGAAAAAAATATGGGCTTTGTTTTTCAAGCTTGAAATGTAGTAAATTCAGTCTCTTCCCTGTCTCAAAAGCTCCACACTGACGAGTAACAAAATATTCCATATTTAAATAGCTTACTGCAAAAGGGTCAGCCTGTTCCCAGGAAATGGGCGCTCCCCAGGATGCCGGCCTCATCTTCTCTGGCAGCGATTCCGGTACAGCAACAAGAATAAAGCAAATGTCCAACAAGGCTATTGCTGTAGCCAGGACCACAACCAAGCTGTCCCCGTAGACTCGACCAAGGTAGGCACCAATAGCAGGGCTGGTGACTAAACTTGCTGCAAACGTTGCTGAAACCTAGAACAGATAACAGCTGGTAAGATTTTCAATGAGACAAGTCAACAGTATTGTTACCCACTTTCCCTCGTTTGCAGAAGCCTAACCATTTTAATCAGGTAGTGGTTAACAGTAACGTTTTTCCTGTGACTATGTGGTAACAGCTGTGTATTTCAGACAGACAAATTTTTTCAAGAAAAACTGTATTTTTTTAAATAACTGGACAGCAGTGCGAGGCTCACAGCAGTCCTGCCTGTACTGACATAATTAGGTTTCATTAACTATCCAGTCTCCTGATATCTCTCAGAAGGGATGAGCTGTATTTAATCTTCCTACTAGTGAAATATGCAATGCCTGTTAAAAAAAAAAATCGCATGTATCGAGGGCATATTAAATTTAATATGCTGGTGAATCCAGCTCAGTACAGTGGATCTTCAGAAAGGAGTTTTCAGTGAACCAGCTGGCCCTGTAATGAGAGATGTTAACTTCAAAACTGAAGGAACTTTCTCAACATATCTCGATCCCTGGTGTGTACAGGCAGAAAGAAACTATTTAGTTCTGTATCCTTTGCGTTTGGCTCTT